GGGATTGCAACTAAGTCTTACAGGGAGAGGAATCGACGTGTGCAACACCCGTTATCACAGTAGAGGGAGGGAGGGAGGGGGGGAGGGGGGGGCTACAGTCGGGATTGCAACTAAGTCTTACAGGGAGAGGAATCGACGTGAGCAACCGTCTTGAACTTGAAGCACAAAGACACGAGGGCAAGAGTTATACTTTACTTTTACAACAAAATCTTCCACTTACGATGTGTCTGTAGCCAGGTATCCACCTTTTTGTTTGCAGAAGTTCACAGCGTCATTGTAGGTCTTCTTCTGGCCCGAAAAGAGTTTAAAACACTGTGCTGTAGTTCCATTGCCGACTGTGATCCATCCACTGTGACAGGCACCCTCTGAAGGAGAAAAACTTTGAAGCTACAGGTGGTTGGGTATTCTAAGAACTACGAGTTGCTTTGGCTTTAAATACTGTAGCACGACAATAAGCAAGGGGCCAAGAGGACAATCAAGTTACTACACACAACTGCAAGATCGTTCTTTTAACAGTGTGTGTTTGGAAGGGGGGGGGGGATCCCGCCTAGCTAGGCCCATCGCATGTTGCCTGCAAGTTGTTATAAATGGACAGACAGAAAGACAGACAGACAGACAGATAGACAGATAGACAGATAGACAGGGGGTGGAGACAATCAAACTCTCTGCCTTATCTTTAGGGATAGAATTCGAGGAACACTGTGGCCTACCGGAACGCATTTGATGGTTCAATAATATTATAGTCTCTGTGGAATCCTCTCCATTCAAAGACCTTTGTCCTCCTGCCGGTAGTGTTAACATTAACATAAACCCCATTTTAAAGTGATCTCATTCTGTCATAAATGTCTGCTGTTGAACTGCCTCTAACTGTTTAAAATAATTTTAGTACGGCAAGTTGCTTGAAGAGAAGCTCTTGGGAGGTTTCATTTTTAACCCTGACCACTGGACCTAACCATATGCTATTGTGAGTGACAATGACGTTGTCAATAACAGAAACTTTATGTGGTGGTAGCAAACAGTTTACAAGCATCTTATTCTACTGGAGGCCTAGACAGTGACGTCATCCATGTAAACGAACGGGTACAGTGGATGCCCCAAAGAGGTTATAAATAGAACTAGAGATCTTAGCTGTGACGTCACGAGCGTCAAACTTGAGGGGCGTGCCGCCATTCCGGAAAGGAATAAAAGGTCAGTCAGTGCACAGCAACATTTTTTCAATCCCGGATTAATGAGACTCTGCGAAGTTGTTGTTTTTTTTCATGTTGATTTCTTTTCCATGTGATTTGCCTATCGCTGAAATGTAGGCCCTACTTGTACGGATGTTTGTGATTGCTTACTTTTAAATGAGCCAGATAATCTTTTAATAATGAAAACCTTTTACACCTGAGTAATTTTTATTTTCAATAAATGAGATGGACTTGATGATCACTTATTGAAATAAAAACATAATTTTATTAAAATCTTTTCCTGTGCGATGCTCAAACAGTATGTCTAGATTTAGCACAGCTGACCACAGCAAGGCGCTCGTATAGGCGCCCTGAATGACTGAGAAACTGCTAGAAGCTTCAGCTGCAACTTTAGCACATTTTCAAGACTGGCTGAACGAAAAAGAACCACAGTCGATGTTGTTGAGATGAGAGAAGATAAAGTAGCCAACCAGGCGTAACTACTCACCAATAAGACAGGCGTAATATTCTGTCTCATTTGCGGAACCGATGTCAAACAGCTTGTGCAACAGCAGCGGCAGCAGGGGTTCATAGGTGATGGGGTGTTGTGTAGCCAAACACCATTGCCAATCAACACCAAATTAAGAAAATATTGCGAACGTTTAAGATAAACAAGCTATTTATCTAAGTGTTGCATTTTAAAATGTTGTCATTATATAATTATTTGTGCCCGATATTAAACAACGCTCCTTTGGATGTGCGCAAAAAGATCCATGCAATTTGCAGTATCCCAGCTAACAATTATATTGCTCATTTTGAGACAATAACAAATTAATATATTAAATAATTAACCCAGTCTTATCCCCTTTCATACTCAATGAAGACCTTGGCTTTGCATCCGTAGAATGAGAGTGTAGACAAAATGACATAAAATCAATCCATTTTGTAAGTATGAAATGTATGAAATAGTCCCTTTTTTAACAAACTCAATTACTCACTTTGTCCCCCTCCGCCCCTCCCCCCCCCCCCTCCCCCACCCCATCCGGGAAAAACAAACAATATCTCATAGTGTATCTCTCTGTTCATTTGTAGCCCACATTTAAGTGCATGTGTTCTCACAATTGGTCAGCAAGTGCGGAATTGTGTTTGCGTGTATGCTATATGATTAAAGAACAACAACAAACAAAAAGGAAACTTGAAATAAAATTAAACTGAGCTTCAAACTCTATGAAGACCAAGGCGCTGTTTCTAATCATCAAAAAAATGACGACAAAGCGAGCTCAGTTGGCCCACACAGCCGTAGTGAGTTTACATGGGTGACGTCATAGCTGTACCTCTAGAACCATTATAACCTCTTTGGGGTGCCCACTCTGAGACGCTGAGCGTTCATTCCGGTAAGGGCAGAACCAGTAACCGTCACATCGCGCGTCCCTGGCAACGCCTACAGTGCATAAGTTCTTTTATTGAGTATGAAATGTTGAGTTTCAAGTTGTTTTTTTCAAGGTTGTCATTCTGCTAATGTGTAACGTACATGAATACACAATGTCCCACAAACGGATCTATTTTTGGAAACATAAGTAAACTGAAATGTGTGTTATAATGAACAATTTAAAAAATGCCGATGACAGTTTTAATAGAGGATTTTGAAAATGGCCTGCGATTTCTTCTACATGCTCAGGTAACGGAAGGTGAATGTAAAGATTCATTGTTGAGTGGGAAAATAGAGATGTCATGGTAATATAAAGCATCGGTAAATCCTATTTGTTATCTCATAAGCAAAGGTGAAAATATCAAACAATTCACAGTTTAAATGTCTAGGATATGTTATTATATGCGATGCCAAATCTTCCACGGAAATAAAAAAACAAAGAAGATCAACGGCTGAAGATAGTTTCAATAAAATGAGCCTTAAAAATAGAAACCTCAAAGCCAACCAAAATAACCGTTCTAAACAGCTATGGGTGGTCAACCCGTGTATACAGCTGTGAAGGCGAGACAATCACTTGAGAACGGAAAACTAAAACAATATAAGCAACTGGAATGTGGTTTCTTAAGGGACACTAGGTACAGCTGCAGTGAACCTTTTTGTGTAGGCTCTAAATTAAGTATACTGGGATTCCCAATAACCAATATAGGTCAAGAAATAGAAACACACTATCCCTATATGATTTCACTGTCAATTTTCTGAATTCTTTAGATGCAAAGGGTTCGACAGACCAAAATTCGCGCAAATTCTATGCTGCGATTCTGAAAATAGAAATAGTCATACAAAGTGGGGTTGAGCTGTGACAAATACTTTCAGAAATATCTCTGCATAGGTGACCCACCCCCCTACGAAAATCATAGTTTTGAGATAACAGGGGGAAAAAACGAATTCATACTGGTCTATTTCAACACAATGTTAAAAATATGGCATATGTGAGGACTTTATAGATGTTTTAGACATTTGAAAATATTTCCAATCGATAAAGCAGATGTTGCTCTATTAAAATAATCAAAAATCAAAAAATCGGATTTGGATACCAAAATCGACTTTTTATGGCATTTGGCAACTGCTGTGGTATACGTTTAGAGACTGTTAAGAATTTCTTGAAAGGAAAAGAAATCAAATGGGATAGTACTTGGAGAAGCCCATGTAGGCCGCTCAGTGATGAAAAAAAATTAGAAAGAGACAAATGCAGTTCTTGGGGGCACTTGAATAGACATAACAGCCTTGAATATCTAGCTCTCCCTGGCGAAATTGTGGGCAAACGAGGCAGGAGTGAACCTAGAGCAATCTACTTGGTGGGCCTAAACAGACGGGTAACGAGGAAAGATCAGGATAATTTTTGTTTGTCCTTCATTTTTTAGAGCATCACTTGCTGATGATTAATCATCACTGTTTGGTTTAGAGATAAAAAGCACCCAAGACTCTCAGACACATAAGTTGTATACCTAGGCTCTCACACTGGCGACCCGCCCACCAAAGAGGCCTCCTGCAGGACAATATTATTTATTGAGGCCCCTATTTCTGCCTTCATTTTTACAGGTACAGAACGGGATGTGTAGTTTTACAAATTTTAATGGAGAGTCAAATAAAAAGTTAATGTAGTTGCCAAGAAAACAACAGTAGTTTTAAAGATAATGAGGAAGTTATTATCAAAACTGTATTTTTATAAAAATTGACTTGGGGGTCCCTGCAAAGAATTTGTTTTCTTAGTAACAACATCAAGTTGTTGTTGTTGTTTTTTGCAAAATTGTAAAAACTGCATATACTGTACTTGTAAAAAATAAAGGCTGACTTGACACCAAAGCTTGGTATCAGTGCGCGTCTCCCCCACGCCAAACGGGACTGGACTATGTAAGAGGAAGAGCTGCCAAGTCTCTCTCTACAAGGAGTAAGTAAGAGAAGCCTATGTTCTGAAGAATCGATCTTGTTCTAAACTGCTATATGGACAGACTGGTGAAATGGTGAAATGGTATGGGCTTAACGCCCCTATCAACACTATTAGGTTATTTAAGAGGCGGGGCCTCCTAGTTTTACGTCCGCCTCCGAAAGGACCGAGCTACATGGGAAATTCGAGTAAAGTGTCTTTCCTAAGCACACAACGTCGGACCGAGCTGAGGCTCGAACCCCCAAACCCGCAATTTCACGAATACGAGTCCCTTATCCTAACCACTAGGCTACCGACGCCCCTGGACAGTTTGGGAAGATCAGATCAGTCGTACTTTTTTCAATACCTGAAACATTTTTTGTGGAATACAAGATACAGCCCAGACTCGTTCAGACTTTACCTCCAATGGCTGCCGGGTAATTTGAGTGTAAGATTCCAAAAGCAGACAATAAAGTTATCTTTTTAACAACAGCTTTCCGTGTTTAGACAACATACTGTAACATTTTCAGTCCTGATAAAAGTAATGAACACTTACGTGCCGAATGGAAAATTACAAAACTGCAGAAAACTGCCAAAACCAGCGAAGGTAACGACGGTGACATGACGAGACGACGATGACGACAGCGAAGACAACTTAGAGAATGTCACTGAGGATGCCAAGGCGGTAGACTACCACCCTCTGCTGCAAGAGCAGTGACAACAAACACCAACAGTATCAACAACAGCAACGCCTGCTGTTTGATATGAGAAGTTGTCAAGTCAAAGAAAGATTCAGATGTTCGTGGCTGCACTGTACATTTATATGAGCAGGCCTTATCTCCTGTTGGTCAAAGATTTGGACATCTGAAATTGAAGACACCGGAGATATCGTGTGGTTGCACAAGGTCTACAAGTATATTCGAAAAAAAATTAACTGAGATTTTTTACTGCATGCTTAAGATGATACGCCAAGTGCTTTAATATCAACAGAAACCGAGATGTCCCGGCCACAACCGCCTCCTCTCTCATAATCAAATTCAAAAACATAAAAATAAAAACTTCAGTCCCAAAACAAAGGACCTATGTTGTCTCGTAGATAAAAGAAAGAGGATTGATCTGATAAACCGTGATCCGTTGGGGTTCCTGGGAGGTTAAAAGTTGGGCCACTGATATGCTGTCACTTAGAAATAATTATTGTCGGACGTGCAAAAAAAAAGAAATGTTTTTCGAAAGAGGTTCCTCCCCCC